AACCTCAGTTCAAGCCCTACTAAAATCTATATCCCTCTCTACAGATATCTTTGTTTTTTCTGGTGTTAAAAGAATGTTGAGGGACTGGCTCTACAAATTGGATAACGACCAGGACTTATCCTCAATCCACTCTTCAAATTTCTCTCAGTGGTACCATCTGCTAAAAACAAACCACTCAAGGGTGCAATATTTACAAACACTTACTTTTCCCTCCCTGAGAACCGCATTCACAGAACTCCGTTATCAAACCATGCCAACTGCTGTCTTAGACGGCAGGTACATGAATGTACCTAAGCATCTGAGGCTGTGTATTTGCGGAGCAGGTGAGATAGAGGATGTTGTCCACTATTTACTTAACTGCCAGCTCTATCAAAACCCCAGAAAAAAAATCCTGGGTAACATTTTTGGCTGCTCTACAGGACGAAAGCCCCCAGACAAAGGTGGTCAGGTTGCTTTTGGATTGTGACCCATATATCACTTACAGAACAACATTGTTAGCAAAAGCGGCCAGAAACATTCGCACTAATTCCCTGAGAGCCATTGCAATCAATTGTGCTGGAGACTCCCAGGTATGAACAGCCTCTTATTATTTTATATCTCTGTGATTTTATTCTGATTTTATTTGATTATATTTGTATTTTAAACAATTGGGACGGCTTTTAGCTAATACAATAAACTTAAACTTGGAAATATTTGGCAACAGTGGGATTTGTTAAATTTAAATTTGTTTGAAGAACAGGACCATCAATAAGGGGAGTTCCAGTCCAAGAATGTCTGGGGACCCAAGGTTGAGAACCCCTGTTCTACAGGAACAACTGATTCCTTAGAGCTGCTGAGATGGAAGGGCCGTAACTCATATTGCCTGTTCTCAAACTCTGAAGAGACCTGAGGGTCAAACTCCCTATTCACGCCCTCTAAACTGCGGTATTCCCAATGTGGGCATTATTTAATAATTATACAGTGTGATCCTTTTCAGCCCGTTTCTCCAAATGTGCCATCTTGAATCTGCCACTTCAATATTTTCTAATAAAACATCTTTATTGTTTAACACGGTTTCGTGGGCTTTTTCAACAGTAACATCTGCCTCTGATTTCACAGAAATGGTGCCATATTTATCTTCCTTAAACAACAATAGGGTTTTCCTTCCTATAGAAGGGTGAAGAATTCAAAACTGGTTTATAACTGTCAAACTCTGATAACAAGTCCCCTGGAAATATCACCTTTTGCTTCAGGGTGAGGGGGGAAAGATCCAGCCCATCTGTGGCTCCCAAACCTTCTTGCCCGGCTAAGTCTCAAATTGGGACGAAATGGACTGGCTCCACGGGGTCTCCCACCTCTTCCTATACTTCATTTTCTTTCCACTGAGCCTCCTGCTGTATCCATGCTTTATACCTTTTCTGTCTTCTCTCTCCTCCATCTTGCCCCAGTAGGGTGGCTTCCTACATATTTGCCTTTCCCACTCCTTCTCTGCATACTCTCAAGGAACTCTAAATTCCACCCATTCCCCTGTCCAGGGGTCTTCTTGAACCAAATCCACTAAATCCTCCTTCTCTTCTACCTTCTCCATCCAGCATGCTTCCTCTTCCCCTTCCTCCTCCAACTGTCCCCTCTGCCTCCCTACTCTTCCCTTTTCCTCTCTTCCCCCCCACTGAAATGGCACCCCCTATTGTTTCTTCCCACTGAAATGGCACCTCCCTATAGGTCTGTCCCTATGTCTTTCACTGTATGTATTTCATTATGTCTGCCACCTGTCCCTCATGTTTTCCTCTTGAAGAGACAGGCAGTACACCTCTCGGGCCACCTCTGAGGTTGGTCTGAGCCTCACACACAGGTAACAGTAGCATGTGAAGTAGGGCTCTGAGAGATAGGTGGGAAAAGAAAAGAAAAAAGCCATTTAACTCAGCAGAAAGCAAAAAAGGCCTTTCTCTGTGGTGCTGCCGGCTTTTGGAAATGGGCTTTCTTATGAATTCAGACAGGGTACAGTCTTATTCATCTTTCAGCAAATTAAAAACTTGTATATGTTCCCAGGCCTCGACTGGTATTTAATCCCAGTAGTTTATACTTGGTTTTAAACCATGCTGGATTATAAATGTATTTGCAAGAGTATTACTTTGCTCTTGCATTTTAATGATGTATGTTTTTTATTATTTACCTACTGAGATGTTCTTCTTCTTTGTGCACCTCCTGGATATGTTTTATGAAGGTATAGGCATACGTGAATAAATAAATGACCTTGTTATGGTTGCACTAAGACACACTTGATTTGATATACTTTATTAATGTTTTGCTTTTCAGATGTTTATCTTTCAAACTGCAAAGACAAAAGTGTTTGCCATAATACACAATTCCCACCAAGAGAGTATGAGTCGCTGCTTCCTATTCTCACTTAGCTAGTAATGAAACTAAACTATTAGCAAATGACCAAGAAAAGAAAACTTATCCAAAATGCTCATCAGGAGACACATGATACGGAGAAGGAGACATCTTAGCTAAAATATCTTGCAGTGTGAGTCTAACCACATTAGTAAAGTAGTTCCATCAAGTTAGTGACATTTGTCATTTTAAAAGTGCACTTGGACTGCTGCTGATAAATCCTAATCAATGATTATTTATTTTTTAGGAACCTGTTTACTGTGAGGGCTGCTGGTCTAGGAGCACGTTTAGTGCTGAACTGTGAAGGGTGTTTTTTCAAGACAATCTCAACCGGAACGTGCGATATATAAAATGATGTAAGCAATGCAATTCTGGGACTGATGAACTCATCAAAATTTAAATTAAGACTTATGTTCCAATGTACTTTAGAAGCCATAATATTGACCCAGTTTTTAGAATATTGTTGGACAAGGTCTGAAAAATACACCTGGCTGGTATGCTTTAGAAGAAACTGTGTGACTCTAATAGTGGGATGTAACATAGCACAAGCAGTCAGGGCTGTAATGGAAAAACTGACCAAATAATATCAATCAGTTGGTTGTTGTAGGTTTTTCAGGCTGTTTGGCCATGTTCTGAAGGTTTTTCTTCCTAATGTTTCACCAGTCTCTGTGGCCAGCATCTTCAGAGGACAGGAGTCTGAAATCTGTCTGTGCTCTGGTGCAGTTTGTGGGATAGTTGAGTATTTATAGCTGTGGGATTAGCTTTTTGTCCTTTTCAGGAGATTGGGTGATTATGGTGATCAGCATGTTTTTTGTTGTGGGTGTATTGTTGTGATAAGGGGGAGAGATGATCTGTCACTGTGATTGATAGGTGTCATTAGCTGGTCTTTTGTGTGCAATGATCACCAGTCCTTGTGGCTGGGTAGAGTTCATTGACCTTTTGCAGGCTATATTTTTCAGTGCTGGGATCCAGGCTTTGTTGAGTTCTAGACTTTCTTATTTTTTTATTGAAGCTCTGCTGGTGTTTCTGGATTTCAATGGCTTCCCTGTGCAGTCTAACGTAATGATTGTTGGTGTTGTCCAGTACTGTACTTCTGTATTTTGAAATAGAATTTCATGTCCAGGTTGTTTCAGGGCATGTTCAGCTACTGCTGATTTTCCGGTTGTTTTAGTCTGCAGTGTCTCTCATGTTCTTTGATTCTGGTGTGGATGCTGCATTTTGTGGTTCCAGTATATACTCAACTATCCCACAAACTGCACCAGAGCACAGACAGAATTCTGATACCTGTCCTCTGAAGATGCTGGTGAAACATTAGGAAGAAAAACCTTCAGAACATGGCCAAACAGCCTATGACAACAACCATCGGATCCTGGCCGTGAAAGCCTTCGAGAATACAATATCAATCAGTCTTCATAGATAGCATATTAATATAACCATCAGTCAAAGCCATCAGTCAAATCTACGTCCCAAGTATAGAGGCTGAGGAAGTAAACTGCTTACAAGAGGTGCTAGTGAGTAAACCATATACTGTACTGTAGTGTAAGCTGATTTAAGTGGAGATTCCTGAAAGTGGGCTACCAGCTACCATGTGGCAAGGCACAATGAAAAGTATCAAAATGTACAAACAATATTAGCTTTATATGAGTCAACTTTCTCTCCTCCTTTCCTCAAGTAATACAAAGTTCAACTAAAGGCAGAAACAGACATCAAAGCTAGCTCAAGAAAACAGCTGAATGCATTTTCGTGCTAGCGAGAGGCAATTTAGGCAGACATTCATGTTTGAGAAATCAGACTTCAAAGGAGTCTTCTGCTTAAGTCTTAGATATGAGTCACAAGATAAAATGACCTAATTTTCAAATTACAAGAAGCAAAAAACCCTGCACTCAGATGTTTTTAGCAGTCAGGAACTCCCTCTATTAATGAGAAGCTATATGTAATTTTTTTTTCTACCATGAAGATACAATAGGAAACTTGAACAGCCAACTCTGTGTTAAACAGGCTACAGTATTTATTAAATTCATGTTGATTAATACTCAGCTGCAGGTGCCCTATCTACTTCTCAGCAGGATTTAGGATCTCTGCCATGAAGAGGATACTCTGGGTCTTTTCATCTACCATCATAGTAATGAAAGGACTGTCAAACTTGATAACAGTTGGTATAGACATTGGCACAAGATCCATAGAGGAGGCTCCTGCCGCTTCTGTTCCTCTTTCATCTATTACCATCATAGCCTTATGAAGGGCCTGCAAAGAAAGGAAATCATGTCATTCTCAGAACTTCCTCAGAAATGATTACATACAAATTGCAACACCGCAATTTTTAAAAATCTGATCCATATTGTTAAAGCTGATCATCAGCTCTTTTCCGTTGCCTTCAGCAGATTTTGTGCCTTGATTTCAGACATCCTGAAAAAGGTATTTGTGGACTAAAACCCCTAAAATTTATCAGCTCCTTCTGTAAGTCATAACTCCCAAAGGTAGATTTGTAAAACTTTGGATGTTACCACCTCTGAAGGAGAGGAAATGAGTTTTAGAGAGACTCCCCCCCCCTTTTAAATCTCCACATAGTCTTGATCTGGACTAAGATGGCTACCATGTGATTCAGTTACCACATAGCCACTGCAAACTGGCAAGTCCTGAAAAAAATGGAAATTTCTGCCACATCTGGGATATATTAAAACTTTAATTGTTTCTACTTCAAGGCCCTTTTCACATAGTCTGAAGACTCGCCATGTAAATGAGCTTGCTGAACTGCAGAACAGTCCATTTCTGAAGGTAGCAAAGGCAGGACTGCTCTCTTGATAGTAGGGATGTGCCTTTGGATTTCAAAATACTCAGAATTCATCAAATAATACCACATATTTGGTGAGTTCTGAATATATTCAGATCCAAATCTGATAGTTCTGAATAACAATTCCTAATACACAATATTCCTAATACACAATATAACAATTCCTAATAACAATTCTTAAGTGTCTGGTTTACTCCTATAGATGAGAAAGCAAAAGGCTAGGTTTCTGCTTGCTAGAGGAAAAAGTGAAAGTGAAACTATTTATTGGGAGTGATTTCTTGAGAAACCGAACTTAAGGACACCTTGACCCCAAGATTAGTGGGGGAAGGAAACTTGGTATCTCATGACTGGGATTGCTGTGGGAGGAGGCTTGGAATGAGAGCAAAACCTGCCAATGACATCTGTCTGCACCAATGAAATCTAGAAGCAGGTACAGACAACATAAGGTACAGTGGTGCCTCGCTAAATGATGTTAATCCATTCCGTCAAAATCGCTGTCTTGCAAAAGCATCGTTTAAGTGAAGCGTGGTTCCCCATTGGAATGCATTGAAATCCAATTAATGCGGTCCAGCGGGGAAATCGTCATCTAGCAAAATTCACCCATAGGGAACCATCGTTTTGCGAAGCGCAACAGCGATCGCAAAAACCCATCATCTAGCGAATTCCTCATCCTGAGAACTAATCGTCTAGTGAGGCACCACTGTATTTCTTTCCCATTGGTTCTTTCAATTGAAAGGTGGGCATAGCTGCTTATAAACCACTCAGCATTTGCTGTTATGCTATGCTCTGGCATTCCCACTGTCAGGGTTCAGCCTATGACAATCATTTCCTGATATCTAGGCACTTCCGGCGATTGTTTGCTTCTTTGATTTCTATACTGCTTCCATCTAGTGGCCTTGCCACTACTCTGGGCAGTTTCCAACAGTGAAATAGACATCCAGAACACAACCACATCACACCCAACCTGCAGATATAAAAATATAAAAAGAACTACAAGGCTAAACACTCAAGATGGCAGTAGCAGGGAGAATACAAACTGAAAATATAATCAGAAATAAAACTAAATAGCAAAAAGTTATACAGGGGGGGTGTCCTGAAATGTTGGTATACACTGCTTTCGTTTGGCACAATCCTTTAAAATGATTTTGCCCATGTTTCTTAAAAGGGGGAAACAATGACTATTTAGTTTTCATATTGACTGTAATGGAGTTCTGCAAATCCAGAAATTCTGAAATTTTTTAAATTCCTAATTTGGTATCTGAAAGGCTTCAATTCTGAATTCCAAATGCTAGTGTACATCCCCAAATAATTGCCATTTCTAATTTGTCAGAAAAAACAAGTTCTGCCAGGGACACTTCACAGTGTGCATGTCCCACCTCTTCCAGGTTATAGGAAAAATTCTGGATTACAACTCCAGGATTCCATACCCAATATAGCTATATGGACTTGGGGATTTTGAGAATTGTAGTCCAAAACAGTAACATTTGCAATATCAGCCTAGACTATTGGGTTTCATTTGAGCTTCACTTGAACGTATGTGTGGATTTTCATACAAATCCCTGAAATGAAAGAGGGCAGAAATGGTTCAGACTAAAATCAGATGGGTTAACAATTGTGGCAAAAGGTTTAAACACTATTTTTATTCCCCACATACATAATGGGATAGTAGTGTGATGTAAGACCAATGTTTATTGTGTATTTTAATGGCCCCCTTAGGGGGCGGTGCTCATCCCCGTTTCCAAACCATAGAGCCAGCGTTATGTCCGAAGACAATCTTCTGTGGTCACATGGCCAGTGCGACTTAGACACGGAATGCTGTTACCTTCCCACTGAGGTGGTCCCTATTTATCTACTTGCATTTGCATGCTTTCTAACCGCTAGGTTGGTGGGAGCTGGGACAAGCAACGGGTGCTCACTCCGTCGCGTGGATTCGATCTTACGACTGCTTGGTCTTCTGACCCTGCAGCACAGGCTTCTGCGGTTTAGCCCACAGCGTCACCACGTCCCCCACAGTGCCACTACGTCCCCCGGCCCCCTTCTACACAAAGAAAAAATATATATTCTCAACTTACACCCGAGAGCCTGTGCTGAGGCTGCCCCGTGATGCCAGAGAGGTCTGCTTTGTCAGTGAAGACGTCAACCACGCCCATGGTGTACATAATGTCTTTCAGGTTAAGCTCTCCACTAGCTAAGCATTTTGGAAGATACACGTTGACAGAACTGGTCAGGAATAAAAAAAACAAGAGGAAGAAAGCACAGTCAATCATATGAGAAAATAAAGTGCAAAATCCAATTTTTTGTAATGTGTAACATGAGAGCAGATAATAGAATTGCCCTACTGCAAAATGCAGGTGATTATATTTTGGAACCCTGCCCTCTGTGTGACACTTCCTAAAATAAAACCAGACAAGGCTGGCTAAGCAAACTCCTTTTGTCCCAGCTGGGAAGGACTTTTCCAGCTCTGTTAGGGAAAGATTCCTAACTAAATCTCTGGAGATATTTGGTGATTGACTATATACCAGACTTCTGGGACCAGTATCTTCCTGAGATGTCTGTGGTTTCTAATTCCTATCAGCGCAACTAAGCATGGTGAAGAATGATGGGAGTTATAAACTGGAGAGGACCTGAAAAACAACAAGTTTTCCCACCTCTGTTAGGCAGAAAAATGGCTTGATTTGATGACCTAAGGCAGCTTCCTAACTTTGTCATTAGCAACTAGAATAGCCTTTGATCTGAGTCAAAAGTATGTTGATTAAAATTTATTTTAAAAATGTCTCTGTATTTTTCAGAGAGTAATCATTTTAAGAAAAGCTATCCTCACTGGGATGCAGTCTGCAACAATCTTCCCAGGTTATCTATCCTTTTCATCTTATTTTCAAAATTCTCAACTCAGTCTCAGCATTCGTACCATCCACCCCACCTCACTGCTAATTAAATCTGTGTCCAGCAATTTTTCTCGGTTTTTCAGCTGTGTCATTTTAAATTCTAAAAGATACACAGAGAAAAATCTTCCGTCTTTGAAAAAGACAGACACTCAAAGACTTAGCCTTCTGCAAACTTTAAGAACCAAACCGTACACCTCTGTGCTGTTCTGTTTGCTGAGATACCGTAAGTAAGACTGATCCCAAGGGAGTGCATCTAAGACTGCAGCCTGGTAGAGCCATTCCAAACATGTTTACTCAGAATTAAGTCTCACTCTATTCAATGGAGCTAACTCCCAGCTAAATGTGCCAAAGACTGCAGCCAAAGGGTGTGACTACATGAGAGTTTGTCCCCAAGTTTGGTCTGCTCTGCAGGCAGGCTGGTTCTCTCCTCTTCCCGGCAACCACATAAAATAAGTGCTGGTGCTTGTCCCCAGACAAGAGTGGTCTTACCTGCACTTTTTCGGCTTCCTGCACTTTTAGGATTGCTCCATTTTGTTTTGGTTTCAGCATGCATGATTGTTTAGATTGAACCAAAGTGACTGGCTGGTTGTCCTTTTGCTGAAGCTACTTAATGATCTTCAGAAATAGGAAGCTTCCTTGCCACTTGCCTTTGGAAGGCAAGAGAGAGGAAGATTTGCATTTATTTTTAATTCTAGTTAATATAGCAGCAGTGTTTTGAAAGGCCTTTTTATTTTTAAGTCCTCCTAGAGCATTGCTGATGTGCTCTGTCAGTTAGCAACAATGAAAAAGAAATGCAAAGCTTCCCCTCCAGATGTGAGTGGCAAGGAAGATTTAAAAGGAAAGCATTCCATTTCTCAATATTATTAAGCCGCTTCCTCCTTCATCCTTTGTTTAAGCCACTTAACGATCTTGAGAAATGGGAAGCTTTCCCTTTAAAGGGAATGAAGTCTTGATCATGCTAAACAGAGTCCTTTCAGGTGTGGTGTGGCCAACCCCTGCATAAGGATGCAAGGATCTCCCCCAAATGATTTGACACACCTCAAAGCGGTCCTATTTAGCACAATCTAGATTGATCTATATAACCAGGCTAGGTAGGATAATTATCTAGTCAAACCAAAGTCAACGCGGGAAGCCATGTGTTGCAAGACAAACAAATCACCATTTTTGTACCACTTTTAAAATGAACACATTTATTATGGCATCAGCTATCCTAGGCAAGAAGAGAATGTTGTTATGCATGCATCTAAATGATGCCTTGTTTTCAAAAGATCATCCTGCAATTGTTCTTAACCCTCAAATCTAAATTGCTTGGCACCAGGCTTGATGCTGGAAGCAGTTACCTCTTTTTCAGTATTCTTTCCCATGTCTTCAAAGCTTCACATGATAAGCTGCTGGCCACCTTCTCCAGTTGCCCTTTGTCAGGCAAGATAAAATACGAAGCCGCGTGTCCTTCGTATGGCATTTTCAGAACCGTGCAAGACCTCTCATTGTCACGGCCAACTTCAAACATGCCCATCTGGAACATCATGGGCACTTTCACAGTGGTGTACGGATCCACATAGAAGTCACGCATCTCAGTGTACTTTGGATCAAAGGGCTTCTTCCATTTGGCTTACAGAGGGAAGAATGTGTTAGTGGTTATTTGAACGAGATGTCATAACTAATTAGATTACTTAGAAAAATTCTATCCTACATAGAACTTTTTGTACACAAGAGATTATGAATTCAGATTCTTGTGGAGTGTTCAGGGTTTCGAGATTGAGGGTGTGTCTTGAACTTCAATGTGTCACATGAGATTCACTGTTAATTTTTGTCTTATCTAGTATCAGTCTGTTCATTCCCCATTCCCAGTCTTTTTCCTGTATTCTCTAAATGTAGATTTCCTCTATCCCACTTTTTCCTTCTTCTCAAAAGGTTACAGCCCACAAAAGCTTGTACCAAATAAAACACATAAGTTTCAAGATGCTACAAGACTCATTGTTGTCTTTTCTTCCTCTTGTTCTTGTTTTTCTGGACCTGTATTCTTCCCTTTCTTTCTTTCCTTCCATTTCTGAAACATAGTTATAAAATTGCTGGCATGATATACCCTGATGAAGCATTTCACAATTTAACAACACCATAACAGAGCATCTCACAACCAAAGGATGGCTTATGACCCCATTAGTGGATGACAGTGCCATGGTGTGATTCTTTACCAAATGGCATGAGAATGTATTCAGGTTCAGTGGAATTTGGCTTTCCTCAACACATGGTGAAAATAAGCAGTCTTGCAACTAATGTATCATGTAGTAGTCTCATATCTCAACTTTTAACAGCTGACCTTGCTCTGGGCAGTACTGTTAATGTGTGCTGAATTGCAAGCAGTATGTACAAGATCAGCCTGTTGCTCAATTCAGGGAGTGATAAGATGACATAAGCAGTAGGCTGTGTCAGTAGAAAGGACAATGGACAAACCTCCTTCTCTATTTTACTTTGGTCACATTTTTTTTAAAAAAATGTCTCCTAACTGATGCAGCACTATTTCAGATATATGAAAGTATCTATTCTAAGTTGCTGTATTGCTGTAGTACTATGCCACTTACTAAATTAAACAAACAAAAAAAGGGAAATCATTGCAGCTGCAACAAAAGACAGGGGTGGGGCAACAGTAATTGAAAGGGGAAGGAATTGGAGCAATCTGAAGTGCTTTCTGGATCAATGTATTCGCGAAGGCTTTCACGGCCGAGATCTAAGGCCCAAAAAACCCACAACAACCGCTTTCTGGATCCTTCTCATGTGAGAAAAAAATGTATTCCATGTGAATGGAAGGATTGGTCAAGTGCAAGATAAAATAGATCACACCAAAACATAAAAACATTTTAAACATTACCCAGATCACTCCAAACTCCCCTGTCTAGTTGCGCCCTCAGCTTATGTCTGCACCCCAGCTTCTTATTGAAAGTTCAAGCTTCTTCGTTTGCATTAGAAGCAACTCAACAGTTCTTCTGGAGTGGAAAGATCAGCTGACAGGGTGCTGTTGTTGCCCAGAGGTGCCCAAATGTGTCCACAGTCCTCACAGTCTTTGGGGAGGTTCCTCCCATTTCTCCCACATTCAGGTTTACCAATGGAAGGAATTTTTCAGTCACAACACCACTGTCAGGGCCCCCCGCTTCCTCATCAACACCTGGCTTATCAGAGCATGCTACAGTCTAGGCTTTGAAAAACAATTTGAAGGCCAAATCAGCATCATTGGATGTTTTCCTTCTGATGTAAAAGTAGATTTCATTTAGGTCACAAATGAAATCACAGAGAGAAACTGAACAATACCTATTGAATCTCCTATGGTCCCTATCATACCCAGGTTCCAATCTCTCACTGTGTTTAAAAGAGATGTGCAGACAAAACCCATCCCAAATTTGGCCCCTTTGAGCTCATTCAGGTACTTCTCAAGGTGAAATAGACTTCTTACTTATCATAGCTATAACTTCATTTAGGATTCAGGTTTTAGAAAGATGGGGCAAAGGTTTGTATCCATGAAAATACTCAGGGTACAGGAGAAAAAGAAGGAAAGAATGGGCTTTGCTAACTGAAAGGTCCTACTCCTAGGGCACATTAAACCAAAGTGTTTCTTCTCTAAAATCACACTGGCCATGTGACCACGTAGGGCACATTAAACCAAAGTGTTTGTTCTCTAAAATGCAGAAATTATGGGACTACAAGATCTATGAGCTAATCTTATTATGACCTATTGGGCTGTAACTGTTTTGCATTGTTTCTTCAAGAATCACAATGGCCTGAATCTGCTTATACAGTAGGACCTCTATATGCAGAATCAATATCCACAGTTTCAATTATCTGTGGTTTGAAAATATTAAAAATATTAAAAGAAAATCCCAGAAATATATATATAGGGTTCAGTATTATTCACACTTTTTGGCATTGGAACCTATCCCCCAGATACAGGAGTCCTGCTTTATTTAAAACTTTGCAGCTTTCTTGCCAAAGCACACTTCAATTATGTATGCCATCATCTTGTAGATTGTCCCAAAATGAATGATGTCAGTAAAGAATCACTTTTTTCCCTCCAGTTTTAGATCTTTCACTCCACAGAAACCAGTCTGCCTATTTTACTGAAATCTGTTGAACCTGTTGCATGAAGCTACTCCTAGTCTACATTCTTCTGTTTTCAGAACAACATCCCTCAGAGAACCTAGAGGGATACGTGTATATATTTTTTTAAAAATCAACATAATATACTGATTTTCTTGCACACAATTTCGTGTACATTGTCTCAGACATGGCACTCTTGATACCCTTAGAAGGAGCTGTCCTTGAAATGTCACACAATCCCACAAAGAATTAACATTTCTTTGTATCCTTCCCTTTTTTGAAAAAAAAGCCAAATTTAGAAGGTGTATTTTACAAAACATGCACTTACTTGTCTAGACTTTGGCAGACATAATCAACTCGTAAGGGACTAGTACTATTGGAAATTTGACAAAAGTTTTTTGAACTGCTGGATAGCTCAGTGGTTCAGGTATTAGTTGGGAGTTCAATTCCCCACTGTGCTTCCTTGGCAGGGAACTGGACTCAGTGATCTGTAGGGTCCCGTCAACCTCTATAGTTCTAAGATTATTATTATTTCCAAGATTATTTTTAAAATAATCATTTAAAATTGTGCCTTCGAAGGTAGCCAATGGGAGACACAAATCTTCAGGTTTTGAGATGTTAACCCAGATGTCTTGGGTCAGGATGACCTTCGATGAAGCAGTCTATCTCTGAAGTGGGGCATTTCCCAAAGCACTTAATCAGTCTGAATCAAACATTATAGCTAGTGCATATTCCACTGCAATGGTGCAGCTAAAAAATATTGTAAATCCTTCCCAAAGCACTTAATCAGTCTGAATCGAACGTTATAGCTAGTGCATATTCACACAATTGACATTCAACATCTCCCTTTGCTACTAAACAAAATATTCTTCTGGGCAAGGTTGAAGTTCTTGTAGGTTTCTAAGGACAACAGAAGAACCTCCATCCGCCCCAGAAGAATGTTTTGCTTAGCAGCAAAGAGAGTTGCTGAATGCTCTCACAAAGGTAGGCGTTGACATCCAGAGACTTCATTTGTGCTTGGTATTTCTAGAGCTCAGCATTGAAACTTGTTGTCAAAGTAATGAGGTGTGAAACAATAGCTGAAAAATGCCCATGAACAAAAATAGAACACATTTTCTCAGTGGATCGAGAGTCCTGGATGATATGGGAATTAGGGCTTCTGCAGCAAAAGGTAATCTAGCTGGAAGCTTTGTTAGTCTACTGTAGCACAAGAGAAAATGGAAGTGTTCTAACACCTTTAAGACTAAGTGGTTTTTATTTCTATAAACTTTCATATACACAAAAGCTTATGAAAAATAAAAACTAATTAGCTTTAAAGGTACTTCCAAGACCTGGTCTCCCTTGCATAATGGAAGAGATTGTTAGAAGAGATTGTTAGCATCAGACTCTCAGGTAAGAGAGTATAACAACAAGCATCCCAGGTAAAGTGAATCCCAGTAGTCATGGATTGGACATAGCAACCTTGGGGGGAAAAAAAGCAAAGCAAAGCATGCTGCTTATATACCGCCCCATAGTGCTTCAAGCACTCTCTGGGCAGTTTACATGTTAATTATGCAGGCTACACATTGCCTCCCCAGCAAGTTGGATATTCATTTATTCTTGGGAGGTTAGAAGGCTGAGTGAACCTTGAGCCAGCTACCTGGGATTGAACTCCAGGTCATGAGCACAGGTTTAACCACTGCGCCACGAGGCTCTTTCAAAAAGCAAGGCTGGCTCTGTTTGATGCCCGGAGAGATGAAAACCTCAGGCCCTTCTGGTACAGTTCTGAGATAAATCTGTATCTGGGCCATCACAATGCAGATGGGGATTGTGCATTAAAAACACTCTTGCCACATCAGTCGCCTGTGGTCTTCCAAGTGTTTGGGAGCATCTATTACTGATATCTCTCATTAATGGCCAGACTGGCTGAATCTGGTGGGAACTGAAACCCAACAACAATTTCAGGGCTATGGATACCTTCAATCCTTTTCTAGCATTCCAAAGTCTTGAAAATGTCATTGTAGTGCAATCAGAATGATACTCTCCTTTACTTGTACCTCTGACTTTTACCCAGCCTTTGTCCTCTCTGAGCTTAAGGATGGGACTTCAGATTGCCATGAGCAATTAGCTATAATTATAGTGATCTGTAACAATAGCCAAAAGGGACACCACAAAATGCACAGACAGATGAATGAAACCGAAAACCAGGTTAAAACCAGTCCTTTAGAACCAAGAAGATTCAGATTTAGAGGAGCAGCTATGAAAGAACTACAAAAAAGGAAATAAGGGATAAAGATGCATCAGTGGAGATGAGGCACTCCATGCGACAGCATTCCATATTACTGTTCATAGATGACAAAACCAGACAGTGAGCAAAACAGAGACAAAAACATCTAATCATTTGGAAAGTAGTATCAAAGGAGAGCTTTGACCACCAGAAAGACAATGATAGGACTTTTGGAGATCACTAATTCATAGATTCTCGTGAGTTGGATACAACCTGATGGCAGATAAAAACAACAAAACCAGTGTTGTTTAAATCCTGAAGAGCTACACCCCTTCACATTTCATAAATATTTTAGTATATCTTTCCATGTGACAACACTGAAGAAATGGCACTTGGCTAAAATGTAAAGCAGTGAGTATACAAGGTGTATAACAATGTAAATGTGCTGTCCTCTTAAAATAAGACAACACACTGCCATTAATGTCTAAACCACTGCCAACAAAAGTGAGTACACCCCTAAGTAACGAAGTCCAAATTGGGCCCAAGTAGCCATTTTCCCTCCCTGGTGTCATGAGACCCGTTACTGTCACAAGTCTCAGGTGTGAAGGGGGAGCAGGTGTTATTGCTCTCACGCTCTCAGACTGGCCACTGGAAGTTCCACATGGCACCTCATGGTTATGAACTATCTGAGAATCTAAAAAAATAAATTGTTGCTCTACATAAAGATGGCCTAGGCCAGTGGCGGCAAACCCTTTTTGGCTTGTGTGCCCAAACTGGGGGGGAGGGGGAACCCAGTAGGTGGCGGGCTGCGGCAGAAAATGCAATCTCACAGAAAGGGCTCCGTGTGCCAGCTGTGGCAAGCATGCCATAGGTTCACCACTGCTGGTTATAAGAAGATTGTTGAAACCCTGAAACTGAGCTGCAGCATGGTGACCAAGACCATACAGTGGTTTAACAGGACAGGTTCCACTCAGAACAGGCCTCACCATGGTTGACCAAAGAAGTTGAATGCCTGTGCTCAGCGACATATCCAGAGTCTGGCTTTGGGAAATAGATGTATGAGTGCTGCCAGCATTGCTGCAAAGGTTGAAGGGATGGGGGGGGGGTCAGTCTGTCAGTGCTCAGACCATACGCTGCACACTGCATCAAACTGGTCTCCAGGGCTGTCGTCCCAGAAAGAAGCCTCTTCTAAAGATGATGCACAAGAAAGCCTGCATATGGTTTGCTGCAGACAAAAGGACATGGATTTCTGGAACCATGTCTTGTTGTCCAGTGAGACCAAGATAAACTTTGGTTCAGATGGTGTCAAGCGTGTGTGGCAGCAACCAGGTGAGGAGTACAAAGACAAGTGTGTTGTGCCTACAGTCAAGCATGGTGGTGGGAGTGTCATGGTCTGGGGCTGCATGAGGACTGCCGGCACTGGGGTATTTCAGTGTTGTCACATGAAAAGATAAACTAAAATTTATGAAATGTGAGGGGGTGAACTTCTGTGATATACTGTATATGTTCCTGAGCTTTCTCACCCGTCCTCTGACAAAGAGTTTCTGCAAATCCTTGGCCATGTCAGTTAATCTTGCTAGACACCCTTTGTTTTCTAATCCGTAATTTGAGGATACTAGTGTTTTCCTGATTTACAATTATATTGTTGGTAATTCATTTCTTAGGATTCTTAAGTACTGTGATATGACTGTTTAAAAGGCCACTGTTCCTTACTGTGATTATAATTAATTGCTCAGTGCTAAAAAGCTTTTAGTCCAGAACTACTCTTAAAAGCCAAGAGGATAATCTTAGCTTTTTATTGTTAGATGAAGTAGTTAAGAAATCAAGAATTTCACAATAGCAGGAGCAAAACAATGATGTGGTGAAACCATCTAAAATTAATTTAAACAATGGCTGAGTTTTCTTAATTTCCTTTGCCCTCATTTTAAATCTTTTATCCTACTTTCCCTAGCCACCCAAATTAGAAGCTGCTGTATTTTCTCCACTCTAGCAGGACTTATTTGTAAGAGTTTAGCTGAGAGTTAGTTTTTATGCTAACTTTAGTGACTATAACTGCAAAATCCACAGGTTCTCAAGTACCTGGAAAACACAGGCCATTTAACAGAAACCTTTTGATTTCTTTAAAATCCAAAACTTTTCTGTGTTGTGTGCCATCAAGTCAGAACTGACACAAACATCTCTTATAAGACTTTGAAGGTGAGGCATTTAAAGAGTAATATTACCAGTGCCACCTGCAGCCGCCCCAATCTCTACTTTTTCTTTATTCTTAATAGACACCATTTTATACCAACATTTGTGAGCCAAATCACAATTTGGTTACTGAATCAGTACTGCAATATTGTAAAGGAGAAGATCTATAATCTTAGAACTGCAGAGCTGGAAGGACCTTATGGATCATTGAGTGCAGCCCCTGTCTAGGAGACACAGTAGGAAATCAAACTCCCAACCCACTGAGCTATCCATTATGCAAAGGCTGATAGAGGTACTGATGCTTTACAACTACTTTGTGCAGGAAATATAACATTTCTAACTTATGAGCACATTATGAACACATTATTGCTAAATGGCCTCAAGTGCCAGCTCTGAAGATGAGTAACAGGATCAGTAACTCTATAATATTTTTAAAAAACATTTCCTCTAAAATATTGCAGATATAGTATGATTGGAACAGACATAAGATATGTGGGCCAACATCCTCTTTGCAAACGAGAGTAGATCATCATTACTGTATGCAGAAGGATGTTTTGCCCTTGAAAGTTTCATAGAATATGGAGAATCTATATTCCCACTGCCGGAATAAATCGGCAGAGTGATGGTATTTTCTGGATTTGTGCTTAAGTCACGTTGTCTTCAGTCCGAATCAAAACCTTGAGTGACAGTGTCTGCATCCTCATGCTGCCACCACCACTGTTGCTGCCTTCATCTCCTGTCAGGTGGGTTTGACTGCAGGACGGTGTGGGGGAGAATGGAAAGGAAGGGAGGAGAACTGGAAAAGGGGCAAGGGTTTTTCCCCAGGAAATCTGGTACATTATGCACGCAAGCAAATGCACACACAAAGAGGAGAGATATAGATTTAGAGTTATAGTGAGGGGGGCGAGAGGGTATTTTATTCCCCCTAGATGCTAGAAACTCAAACCTTCCAACTAGAGAGCAAGCCAGTGGAGGTGATGGTGGTAGAGAAGGAAGATCCACTCTCCCGTTTGGGCTTCAATTCCTGGAGAAACCCTCCCCACGGATCCCCATGAATTTTATATATAGGATTCCCCAAAATCACACACAAAAAGAGGGGCCCTAGGCATGCTTTGGATTGGTAGTCTGTAGGCCCATGAAATCATGAAAGGGGTGAAAAGAGAAAGAGGAAGTGGAAAGGGGAAGAGGAGCAAGGAGTGAAGGTGGTGACTGAGAGGAATAGAAAACAGGACTGATATACAGAGGGGGCAAGGAGAAGAGGTTGGTTGAGGGATGGGGCAGAAGGGAATGAAGGTGGAGGGGGCTGAAAGGGGAAGGAAGGAAGGTTTGGGTTGGGTTGCCTGCCTGGTGGCTGTCTAATAAACAAAGAGATGCAGAGCAGGGCCATTCACGTATACAGAATCGACTCATTGGAATCTGCCTCAAAATAAATGGACCCCTGGGAGGGAAACATGAAAAAGTCACTCCCCTCGCAGAGTAGTCTGTGTGTGTATGTGCCTCATGTGTACACTTAAATCTGTGCCTTTTGTTTTAAAGCAGAACACAAATTTTATTGTCAGTGGAATCAAACCCTAAGCTTAGATGTGAAATGAGGAAATGAGATCACAAGCCTCTCTTTGTCTTACCTTTTATGTAAATATAGCTAACCAGAAGTATCTCAGTAATAGGATCAACTCCATCTACAAGCTTGGCAATCTTTCCATGAGTTTTCCTTTCAACATAGTTGTTGATGTGCTGTTGGGTTTCTGCTGTGTTCTTGAAGTTTTCCATATAGATGTCTCCTCCATAGATAGTTCTGAGTCCCCGTAAGAATTGTTCTTGTGGATGCAGGTGGTTTTCTACAAATAGGCAATTGCCCATTTCCACCTGCAGGCCAGACCCCCCACTGTTTAACATGTAGATGAGGTCATGGAAACCTTCATGGATCATCCTCTCCTGGATCTCTGATGGTCTAAAGTCAAGTCCTCTAAGGATCTGATCTAAGGTGTCGGACCTGGCACCCAAGGCCAGCATTGCAAATGCAGAGGAGATACACATGGGAGAGAAGACAATGTTCTTCTTTCTGAAATTATTCCGTTGGCCTCCATTAGTTGTCACTTTCTTGAAGAACTTGAAGGCAAAGTCAGAATTACTGTTGACAAGCACCTCATAGGGTGTCGGAACACCTCTTTGATTGAACTGGTTTTCATTGTTGGTAAATGGATCATTCTGGACATTGTTATCACAGTTTTCAGGATAGCCAGAATTGTATGGATAAGGACCATTGTTCGCAAAGATCCCAACAATTATAAAGAACAAAAATAATATGGTCTCCATTTTGTTCTCTAAGAAACATAAAAAGGAAAAAAGTGAAAACATTTATAAGACTGAGGAGAAAGTCAACATTTAGAAGAGATGCTAATTGGAATACTACAATTCATCAGTGAAGACCCCAGTGCTCACTCTAGTGAAGATCACTGAACAGAATAACACTTTATCAATGTATTTTTTTAAATGTTTTACCTCATCTGTGTCTCTGCTCCTTTAATTTTTAATCATCCTTGCTTCATGCACATTATTCACTCATTCTTTATAACTAACTGGCAAAGAAGGCTGATATCATTTTTTTTTCATGCTATAGAGTAGGGAGGACAGTGTGGCATTAAAAGGATGTTTTCTGCTCTTGCAAAAATCAGATTGCAGACTTCCTAAAGTCAGCTCATAGCCACAGTGCTATTACCAGTTCCCACCAGAGGATGACACTCTGACTCAACATAAACTTTCTAGAGTCTATGTGAGACAAAAATGCAGGAAATGCATAGACCACAGTGGGAAAAGGCGTGAAAGTAAATCATTCAGTTTAGTAGGAGACGGAGGAGATAAAATAATACAATATAAATAATCTTTCGTATCATGTAATATTAATACAATATGAAATATTAGATGTGATAGCTAGAAAAATGAGCATTGGAGGTAATTTGCTAGTAACTAAAACAGAAACTGTTTAACAAGTCATCGAAAAATTGTGACAAGCAACAAATATCCCAAAAAACATATGCCATCAGAAACAAAATAGTACAAAATTGGTATAATAGAACTAAAGCGTTTTCTAATACAGCAGTAAGCACGTCACTGACACAGACATGTATGTCTAATCAGGAAGTGTGGGGAGGCAGCTCGTGGATTGTCTACAGCCCCACAGGGGCTGAAACGTAATTTTGCTTGACCTTGATGCACTCCAGTCCCAATTTTTTAAGAAGGCTTTTTTTTGGGGAGTGGGAGCATTTGTAAGGAAAATTGAGGGAGGGGTGTGTGAATAGGTACAGTCTTCTAAGTTCCAGGAATGGCTATACATGACCCATACCTTGGAACCACCATGCCCCAAATGAATTTTGCTCACTCAAAAAAAAAAAAACAAAAAACCAACCATGATTCTACAAGGATATAATTGGTAACTACACAAGCACTGATAGGTATTTTACCAGCTGTCCATCACATGCATTGTGCAGCTGGTTGTGTGACTTGGTTCTGCAACCAATGAAAAACCATTTTACCTGCTCTCCATGTGATGGACAGCTGGTAAAATACCTATTGGTGCTTGTGCAGTTGCCAGTTATATCCTTGTAGAATCATGCAATACAAAAGGGTTCTGGCCTCAGTGTATGAGGATATTTCTCTAAAGACGTTGGTAATAATGATGAGGCTGGAGTCAAAATGTTCCTTGACTTTTTTCTTTACAAGAAAGAAACCTTTAGATGAAACTCTCCCTCCCTAAAATCAAGCAGAACAAGGAGTAAGTAAATGGCATTCTGTGGTCTAGGTGGATGGTGGAACTGGAATGTAGATTGGTTGTGACATGCCCCCTTAGAAGAAAATCCTCTCGTTTCCTCAAAACCAGTTGCTAGCCAAGTTCATATAAAGAAAATTATTATTTGATTGATGGGGTCAAGGGGTCACGAAGAGTCGGACTTGACTAAACGACTAAACAACAACAACAAAACTGATCCCAGTTAGACGTGACCCAGTAGAATATAGGCTGGAGTTCAGTTTACAGAGAAAGAGAAACCCATTTCTGGGCAACATTTTTCATAAGAACTTGAGAACCATGCTGATTAAGAGGAAGGGCTTAACTTGTCCAGGATTCTATTCATACTGTGGGCAACCATATGATTATGGGAATCCCATCGCAGGACAGAAATGAAATAGTGCATTCTCTGGGCTGGCAAAGTATTGTAAACTGACTGTCTTTATATCCAGTTTTTCCCAAGTGCTGAGAATGTTGATTTAAAATTTGCATGAAAATTCCTATCAATTTGAACAAACAAGGATGAAAAACCAGTGGCTGGAGGATTTTGATAAAAGGAGAGGACTGGAACAAGATATGGTCACCACAAAGAATAATGAAGACTATGTCTATAAAGTTAAAATAAAATTATTATACGATAGCATGGAGATGGTATTTAACTCCAGTAAGTTTGAATATAATAAATAAAATATACCAACTCAATGTTGGAGGTGCAAAAAGGAAAAACGAACCTATATGCATATGTGGTGGGTGTGTGAAGAAAGAAAGAAAGAAAGAAAGAAAGAAAGAAAGAAAGAAAGAAAGAAAGAAAGAAAGAAAGAAAGAAAGGGCACTGGTTTTTGAGAGAATTAGAAAAATTATTGAATGTGATATTCAGATATCACCAATTATTGCCCTCATGAACATAATTAAGAATAATCATTTGAAAAAAAGATCAGAAAGAGTTAGTTTTAACAGTTACAATGGCAAGATTAATATTCACAAAGAATTGGAAAAGCGACAAATTAATCTTAAAGATTGGTATAAAGAAGTATGGAGCTTAGCAATTAATGATAAGCTAAAATGTGAAATGAAAATAAGAAGAATTGTAAAGTCTAATAATTTCAAAGATGTATGGAATTTATACTTGGAGTATGTCTTTTCAAAGGGGAAAGGCTATATGCCAGCAAAAGAATCAATGTATTTTTGTAGAGGTATGGAGTGAAAAGCAGTATAAATTGATATTATTGGTCACCTAGTCCCAAGGGTAAAGCTGGCACATGATGGGAAATTCGATGCATATTGTATTTTAGTTTTCATTTGTTGTTTGTTATAAAAAAAGTTTTTTAAAAAGAAAATTCATGTGAATTTTTTTGTGCATTTCTCCTAATGCACACATTTTTGTACTCAGTTTTGTTTTTGTTAAGAGATACATTTAGTACTGGAGAACTCTATTGCAAAATTCAACAAAATGCAAATTTGGAAAAATAACTAAGTTTGTAGAATGATTTGAAAGTACAAAATTAAATGCATATCTTTTTTTAAATCTGTTTTAGTAATGGGACCTGCCACCTTTAGGTTGACTTGGCAGTGATTGATAAAATGAGGAGCAATCCATTCGGAATTTCAATTGACTTCAATACGCCTTCCACACAACTGAAGTTTTGTCCTAACTCACATTGTATGTGATTGCAACAATAAGCCCAAATCAGGTGTCCCTTTGTGGTATATAGTCAGCTTTAAATTGCAAGCTGCTACCTTGCTCTTTCAAAGAAGCTTGAAGATGGCGTGTGCTGAATGCAGAAATTATAATAGGTTAAATAATAAAGTGCAAGAATATTTCATCTTTAATTCAGGTTAGACAGGCCATGTTTTATCCAACTGCTCCACCAAAGTGCAATACAAAACTAGATTTGTAGGTTCTCTCAGAAATAACAGCCACTTCGTGAGATTCCCCTTCATTTCATGTCCACATTCTTATCAACTTATCAGCTTCCTCATAATAACTTTGATCAGTCCTCTGAATTACATGCTACCAAAAAGTTATAGGGCAAAGGTAAAGCTCATTATACAACTTTTTCCACTGCTTAATCAGTGGCTCATAAAAGTAGAGTTTCATTCAAATTTCCATCAAAAATAGCAATTCCTTCTAGGGAGCCATCACTTTCAGTTTTGTTTTGTTTTTGGAAACAACAGATGGCATATTACTCCATTTCATTTTAATGTACTAGAAAGCAGAGGAACCTCCACTCTTTAGATCTGAATTGCTCTTTTTTGCACTGTACTGTATTCGCTGATTATTTCTTGACAACATATCGGCAGCAATAATACTTGAGACACCGGTATTCCAGTGAATTCAAATCATCTACCTACCATTTCATTGGGATGATGTTTAACTCACCTTTGCTAAGCTTACCATATAATCCATTGTATTCTACTCAGAAGTAACTCCCACTCTGTCCAGTTGGGCTTACTTCTTGCACTGTAGCCCCAAATCCATTGCTTAGTGTCTTATCTGTGGATAAGGTGGACAATGATCCTTTCGACCACCTTTTAAGTGTTAGAAAGCTGTCACTACATTCCTCCTTAATTAGCTCTAAAACTCAACATGCATGCCTCTTTCAGACATTCCTTAAACAATCTGTTGTTTCAGAGACTAATTGTCCTCATAGCTCTTGACTAGAGTTTCCCATTCACAATCTGACACAGAATGTACATGGATTCTACACATTACTCTTGTGGCTGGATTTCCCCATTTAATTTCCATAGAGTGATAGAGACGTAAAAAAAATCTTCACCACTTCGGTCTGTGGGTGTGTATTCTCTAACTATTTTTAAACGCTTCTGGGTTTTCCACTCTTTTTAAACATCTCACTTCAATATACATAAGCGTTGCCACCCCTTCCCATAAGTCCCTGTATTGTCCTTCACGTGCCATTTTGCAGCCTTTTTACATATTCTATTATTGCTTAAACTTTCTATATTGTATATGTTCAGGTGTGTGTGTACCCGCACTGAAACACACCTTGGGTGGTTTAGCCCTCCTAAAAATGCTGGCACAGAATTGAAATTAAATAGTCGTCCTAATACAAGGCTATTTTCCCACATGAACTTTTAAAAGAAATTTACAGGCAAGTTTATCTTTCAGACAAGCAATTTCGTGACTTATACATTATCCAACATCTTACTTAATGGCACATTTAATAAAAATACCAGTCTTCCAAACGAAGTTACTTACTGCGTAATCAATATTGTTTTGTTTTGACTTCTGGATCTGCACTGCACCCTTTTTGATCCTTTTGGGCACTGGAGAGAAAGCAGAGCATCTCTTGATACTTGCTGATAAGTTTCTGTAAAGGATTCTGACTCAGCCAGACAGAGAACTAGTTTTACTAGACTTTCAATTATGCTGAATGTGCACGTGACTTTGTTTGTGTTCTGTCTCTTTGACGAATGGAAACTAATCTCCATCAAATTGAACACCTTGTGAACGCGCAAATAAATAATCAATCTGCATCTCAATTATGGCAAT